CTGAAATTTGTTTACGATTCAATATTTTGAATAAAAAGAGGACATGCTGGCGCTCTAAATTGATGCAAACAAAATTTTGTAGTCATTGTGTTCCAACATTGCTGTCACTTGTATTATACCGTACATCCTGACATCAAAATATAACTGATTTACTATGCGCCTATATAGATTTGCATGATAAAGTGCAAATATGGTCAGTTTTGGTTGATACGGTCAAATAATTTTGTTATACGAGTCAGTCTGAGATATTAAAACTACTGACATTTGTTTACGATTCAATATTTCAATATTTTGAATAAAAAGAGGACATGCTGGCACTCTAAATAGATGCGAACAAAATTGTGTATTCATTGTGTTTTAATATTGCTGTCATCTTTATTATACAATCTGTCCTGACATAAAAATATTTCTGATTTACTATGCGACGATAAGATTTACATAATAAAGTGCAAATATGGTCAGTTTTGGTTGATGTGGACAAATAATTTTGTTATACGAGTTGGTCTGAGGTATGAAAACTACTCATATTTGTTTACGGTTAAATATTTTGAATAAAAAGAGGACATGATGGCACTCTAAATTGATGTGAACAAAATTAAGAAGTCATTGTGTTCCAATATTGCTGTCATTTGTACTAAACAGTCCGTCCTGACATTAAAATATAACTGATTTACTATGCGGCTATATAGATTTTCTTGATAAAATGCAAGTATTGTCAGTTTTGGTTAATGAGACCAAATAATTTTGTTTTACGAGTCATCCTGAGCCAGCCAGTCTGAGATAAAAAAAAAAACTGTTGGATTTTGGTGATGATTTAATTATTTAAATAAAAGAAGGACATGCTTGAACTGTTTTTTGTGAAGAAAAAGAAATTTACTATAATTAATTTTCAATTTTTTAAAGAGGTGTAATAACATAATTAATTAACTGTAATCGTCAATTTGTCAATTGAAAATGACCAGTTGGTCATTTAATTTTTTATTTACCTTATCATTTGATATTTAAGGTCAGTGTATCCAGGATACGATGACAATCTGCGTTAACGCGCGTTTACTACAAACAGTAAACGTGCGTTTACGTTTGACGAAAATAGAAGACGCGCCTTTTGTTCACGTTAACGTGGAAGTAAACGCGAAAGTAAACGCCCGTTTACTCTTTACAAAATCAGAAGATGCGCCGTTTTTTGCGTTAACGCGGAGGTAAACGCGAAAGTAAACGCCCATTTACTTTTTATGTCTACTGAAATTTCGGGGTTAACGCACAGTTAACGCGGCGTTTACATGAAGTGCATGCGAGTAAACGCCGCGTTAACTTTTTCCGCCTGTCTACATGTAATGCTTTGTCTGCACCCAACTATATCTTTAAAAAAAAGCAATGAAGAGATACAGTAAACGTTAAACTGAAATTAACTTATCAATAATTTTACATTCGCATTTATTACATTTAGTACTCCGAGTACTTTGTAAATCTGTTTCTAGGTAAAAAGTAACAGCAGATGGAATATACAATAATAAAGTGTTTTTCGTCCTCCAGTATACATTTGCGATTACCTCTAGGCAATAGAGAAGAACGAATTTTTAAATATATAACATTCTGTCCACAAAAATCATTTCACAGCTAAAAGGTATTAAGGTCGCACACTTTTAACTGATAGAAATAATAACAAACTTGCTGTGACTTTGAGATGAAGAACAGCAATAAAACCGCTGTTACCTTGCTTTTTGTGTGTTTTTTGATGTGCATGTACTGACTTTTTGTCATGGATGGATACCCCATATCCTTTGCTTTTCTTTTATATCAACGGAGATTGTCTCTCGTGCTGTTTGGAGGCCGTAGAAATTTCTCGTGCTTGATTATTATTATCTTTTGTATTTGTCAAGTTATGGAGTATTGATTCTTGAGATAGCTTCCCTTGTGTGTGATACATCAAGCTCTTAATTATTTAGGGCAGTTTGTGTACTAAAATTTTAATAAGACGCACACCACCTTTTCTTGGTCCTCATTCCTATCCACGTTACATTGTTCACTTCCATACATTTTAAGGGTGATCAATTATCCGTTATTTAGACACCAGACCGTTCTGGATACACCAAACCAGCGGCTCTTTTTACAAAAATCTTAAGAATAAAAATACTCGAAAGTCATACACATTTCAGTACAACTTACGATCAATTTTAATCGTAAGATCTTTTGTAAAAAGAGTCGCAGGTACTTTATATCTGAGAAACAGGCAATATATGCCCTCAGTTTTAGAATACATTCATACATTTTTATTTCATTTTTTTTCTTTTGGTGCCGTGTTAAAGGCCTCACTGTGGCTTCGAAATAAAGCAATAAAAGCGCTGTTCCTTTCCTTTTTGCTTTTTTGTTTTTTGTTTTCTTTTGCTGTGCATGTACTGATTTTGTGTCATGGATGGATACCCCATATACTTTGTTTTTCTATTAGGAAATTTAAGTAATTTCTTGCATTTCAATTTTATTTGTAAAAGTTTGATAAATAAGACTTTAATTTCTGACAATTTAAACTGTTTCAGTAAATGTAAATTTGTTTCTGCAAAAATCTTAATAAAAACTCGTTGAACTGCGCCGGAATATTAAAAAAAAGAAATTTGAAGCATTTATCCCTCTTGAGATACAACAAAATATTTAATGAGAAAGAATGTAAATGTATGTAATTAATCTAATATAATGGAAATTAAACGACTAAAAATGTGCATTTTTTACTTTAAATGACGTTTCTCGATAATCGAAGATTTTGCTTACATGTAATTGTTTAAATTATCTGTGTATTAATGATGATAAATTATAAAGAGGCTGTTGGGTTCGATTTTATTTCTCGGTTAAAATCATTTTCTTTGAATACGTTAGGCCTCAAACGGACGCAATAAAAATGAGGTCGTGACGGCGTCACGCTTAAAATCTTTAGTGTTGATGGTTTTAATACATCAGACAAACTTAATGAGACAGCTTATTTAAAAACGGAAATACGAGATAGTTGTTTAACAAAGTTGTCAACCCTAATTTATGTGGATGGAATTTTAGGAAATCTTTATTAAAAGTACAAAATGCATATTGTCTCCCGCCTTTTACGTACTTTCTTTATTTGTATAGATTAATGCTGTTCATATATCTGTTGTTTTCGATATTCAGAAGCAATCAAATATGTTCTAAATAAAAACAAAAGTAAGCTAGCACTCAACATTAAAAGAATGATATTTAAACACGTTACATCCTCCTTCCCCCCCCCCCCCCCTGTTTCTGTTTTAAAGGTCTCGTTAGCCGGATTTCCTGTAAAAATTTTACAAATGCTATAAATATATGCCCTCTACTGAAATAATTCATCACAAATATTGTTCATTCCAATCAAAAACCAATGTTTAATGTCTGAACAGTAACTGTAATAAAACGTAAACTCCGGTTAAGCTTGACTGGAGAGAGAACACAGTGTTCACAGATAAAAAAAAGACATACCGCCAATATCGACGCCGGTCAACTTACTTAATGCTGATCATATCTACAGACGGAATAGTATTTGGTGATTGAAAAAATCAACACACCTATTAATTGAAAAAAGAGTAAAACATTTTTGAGCATTGTCATAATTTATTTTGCAAATGAACTCTCCATTTGACATAAAGCTCTCATACTCGGTAGGTTTATTTGCCATCATGTATATAGTTATGATTTACTGTCATTATCACATGTATATAGTTATAATTTACTGTCATTATAACATGTATATAGTTATAATTTAATGTCATTATAACATGTATATAGTTATCATTTAATGTCATTATAACATGTATGGCTTTTAACTAGCTGTCAGTAACTGCGAGTACTCTCAAATCGCACTTTCTTTTTAATTTGACCTGTTGATACTATTTGTAATGCTTTTTAGTTATTTGATGTTAACATGGATCTTGTCTATATACCAGCTTTGATAATTTGGTATTTAATTACTACAAATTTTCACTTCTTCGTACTATGAACATCAAAATTATTTCATTTTTCCTAAGATGCTGTTCTTGGACCTGTACAGGAAGTTTTATCTAGCACTAATTGTATATTTTTATTGTTGATATTCACCCCATATGTACCAAGTGTTAGATTAGTTTTATTGATATTAAAGAAATTTCTTGGTATTCCTAAACGGAAGATTTTATACACACAGAAGAAGAAGTATACTTAACAACAAAATTATTTTCATTTACCTGTGTATGATATGACGCAGGTTTCTTCAAAAGTGATGATTTTCTATAAATTGTTTGAAATTTCACAGTGATATCACACTTTAACTTTGTTTAAACTTGTTTGTTTACTTTTGACTTTAATTATTTATCCCTTGTAATTTTTTATTAACTGTGTATTTGCATTCAGGTGTCACAGGTCAAATTTATTCGTTCATTGTGTGTTAATTTACGTTTTTTGATTGAGTTAAGCCTTTCAATTGATATTTTATAGTGTGTTTTTCTATGTTGTGATCTTATACTATTGTTTCAGAAAAGGGAGAAGGTTTGGTACCATTAAAACGTTTATCCCGCTGCAAATGTTTGCACCTGTCCTCAGTCAGGAATCTGATGACAGTAGTTGTCGTCTGTTTATATAGTTCTCACGTGTTTCTCGTTTCTCGTTTTTATATAGATTAGACCGTTGGTTTTTCCGTTTGAATGGTTTTACACTAGTAATTTTTTTTGGCCCTTTATAGCTTGCTGTTCGGTGTGAGCCAATGCTCCGTGTTGAAGGCCGTACCTTGACCTATAATGGTTTACTTTTATAAATTGTAACTTGGATGGAGAGTTGTCTCATTGGCACTCATACCACATCTTTCTATATCTATATATAGTTATAATTTAATGTCATTATAACATGTATAACATGTATATAGTTATAATGTAATGTCATTATAACATGTATAATTTAAACCATCATACCACATTGACATATTGTGACACATTATTTAAAGCCAATCGTATGAAAGATCTTATGAATATTTTTCAGTTTATCATTTCAAAATGAACCTATTAAGAATTGTCGGAGCAACATTTATGCTACTTCTACTCTTTTCGTGCGGTAAGTAAACTAATGCGTTACTACATGTTAACTGGAACATGCATTGTTATTATATACATCAAAATAGTTTATGACGAGGTCGAGTCATACAACACATACTGAAATAGCTTAACTATAAGAATACTGTTGTTTATCTATAAAGTTAAGTAACTATATACAAAAACATGGACAGCACACATTTAGGTCAAATCGATAAAGAGTCTTGAATATTTCATTATTTCGATTGGAAATATTTATCACGATTCCTAAATACAAATAGTGATGACACATACGTAAAAGAGTGGTGTTAAAAAACAGTTTGCTGTCATTATGTTAAATATCAATTTAAACATCCATTACTTCATACTAAATAACTGTTGGGATATCAACAAATTGAAAACGAGTGTCAAATATATTGGGAATAGAGGAATATCAAATACAGCTTTTTTTTGCTATTCAAGCTGATGTAATGCTTTTGTTAAAGAGCAAAAAAGTTTCATTGATAGGATATAGTCTCATTAACACACCTTATCTCCTTTTATTTATAAGGCAGTGTATTTCAATATGTATTTTTGATACATGTATAACATTCGTTTCGTACGGATGCAACTATATTCATTCTTTGAAATATCAAATATTGTCATTTATGTTTGACTCTCTTGAAAAACATAGTGTATTTAAAAAAAGTAATACAAATGGTCAAAATGTTCATATACATATTATGTGTTTAATTCATTCAAAATAATTTAATCTGTATTGATTTATTGCGAATAGGGTTTATATGTATATATCTTAAAGTGGTTGAGCTTTTGATTTTGCCATTTGATAAGGGACTTTCCGATTTGAATTTTCCTTGAAGTTCGGTTTTTTTGTTATTTTACTTTTTTTTTAACAATTACAGATACACATAGACAATATGTGGATTAATTTTCAAATTTACACGGATAAACAGTTAATTCATTATACAAAATTATACAAAACAAAATTAGATTGTTACCTCCAACGGTTAACACTTAATAGGTTGAACAATTTAGATTCTACCGATTAAAATTAATAGAACAATGAAAATCATGAATCAATCTATTGTTACAGTAATACTTAAACTGTTACAAACATTTATCCAAAGTCATTTTTTTCTTATTAAAGCAACTGTTGAATCTTTCGAAAGACCTTTTTCAGTACGTGATGTACTAAATTGTGGCTTTTGTTGTGGAGGTGCCCCAGGTGACGGAACGTGCAGTAAATGTTATTGTACATCGAGAGCAGGAGCGCCATGATGAATCGTAAGGTATGTTTAAATAAATAACCGGTTTTGTATTTTTTTATGATAAAAGTCAAAATGAATGTATAATATCTAAGTGGATTACAACATATAATTACACCAGTAGCATGTCTTGATTAGAATAATCTTTCGAACTTGATTGAGATGTTTATATTTAAATGTTATCATGTTCCTTTCCTTATAAAATGTAATCAAATGGGTCTTCAATTAAGTATTAATCATTTTTATAACATTCGATTAATTATATAATTATAAATTGAGTGCTGTATATGCATGTTCGTTTTATTACGGAATCTTTTACCAGCTAATATAAAAAATATGTAGTATAAATTCCAATGAGAGAACGCTTCACCAGAGATCAAATGACATAGACGTTAATAACTATAGGTCACCACACGGCTTTCCACAATAAGCAAAACCCATACCGCATAGTCAGCCATAACAGGACCCGAAATGACAAATGTTTAACAATTCAACAAGAAAACTAGCTGTCTGATTTATGTAAGAAACAACAAAAGAAATAAAAATATGAAATACAGTAACAAACGACAACCACTGAATTACAGGCTCCTGACTTGGGACAGACATATACAGAATATAGCGGAGTTAAACATGTTAGCGGGCGTCCAACCATCACCTAACCTGGGACAGTAGTGAAACAGTACAACATATGAACAATATATAATCGGTTGATACAACGGAGAAAAACAAGTAACAAAACATAAATCATTCGTGGCAGGGTATTTATACATCCTTACAACAAAACAGATACTCAGTACATATATGAGAGAGTATTCGCAATTACTGACAGCTAGAGTTGAATGCCAATAACAACAAATAAAACAATCATGTATCTAAGACTACGATATCAATCAGTACAAATCCAACATCAATTGTATTTAGTGTAAAGACGTCATTAACAGTCCGAGAACTAAGTTTTGCCAGTAATAACTATTAACATATGAATTCATTGAAAATATTCTGTGTAGAAAGGGATGAGATTAAATCAAGAAAAAAAATACATACACAACAGCAGCAAAGACAACAACAACAAAACACGCTTGAGTAAAGTGGTCCCATAAAACACATGTATTGTATAACAACCACGGTAAATAGATCTCCATAATCAAATTACTAAGAAAGTATAGACAAACAGTTAACCGTGAACAATGATAAAATATACAAATAAAGATCTAGAAAAACCAATCCTACTTATAAACGAAAATGAAATAAGATCACATAATCATGTGGCTTGAATTCTGTGGTGTCATGACGGGAAAAAAAATAACCGAAATAAACAGAACTTTGACATATGTGGAAAGATATTTCGTAACGGTCAAACAACCTTTGCTGGCAATTATAAGTCAGAAGTAAGAACATAAACTTATCCTTATAATAATGTTTACTTTGTGCATTAACCTTTAAACAGCTGCAGCTTGCATACTTTACACTAAACACATTTATTTAAAAACCAGTTGTTGGCATGACACGGGTTATGTTCTTCTCATATATGTTATGATGGTATGATACTAAACCCCTAACCGGAAGGATTGTGCCTGATATTCATATGATGAAGACATAATCTTTCAATCAGTTTAATTGAAGTCTGGAGCTGGCATGTCAGTTAACTGCTAGTAGTCTGTTGTTATCTATGTATTATTGTCATTTTGTTTATTTTCTTTGGTTACATCTTCCGACATCAGACTCGGACTTCTCTTGAACTGAATTTTAATGTGCATATTGTTATGCGTATACTTTTCTACATTGGCTAGAGGTATAGGGGGAGGGTTGAGATCTCATAAACATGTTTAACCCCGCCGCATTTTTGCGCCTGTCCCAAGTGAGGAGCCTCTAGCCTTTGTTAGTCTTGTATTATTTTTAATTTTAGTTTCTTGTGTACAATTTGGAGTTTAGTATGGCGTTCATTATCACTGAACTAGTATATATATTTGTTTAGGGGCCAGCTGAAGGACGCCTCCGGGTGCGGGAATTTCTCGCTGCATTGAAGACCTGTTGGTGGCCTTCTGCTGTTGTCTGTTCTGTGGTCGGGTTGTTGTCTCTTTGACACATTCCCCATTTCCATTCTCAATTTTATTTAACATACCAATGATACAGTAACAAAACTACGAAATGGTACATTAAAATTAAATGTTGAAGTTGATCGTTTATCTGAAAGGACACGAGAACACTGCGTTGATGTGTTTGCTGTTACATGCGATGTGCTGAGAACGAATTCTGTATTGGTACATGTACTTGTATATCCAGCATACAGAACATTCAGAAATATATTTTAACACGTTATTATTGTTTTTGACCGAATACTTCTAAATTATCTTGTTTTTTGAAAGCTACATCTGAATCGTTTACAATTAAGCTCTGTAAATAGGTAAATAATGCATTGCAAGCTAGATTTGATATTATTGGTTAGTTATACTTCAATTGTATTGCTCTCTGCTATCAGTCTTTTGTCACATGGTGTATATAGTATGTATTTCCACAGCATGTCATGCATTCTCTTGCAAATAAATCGTCATTCATGCACCTCTGTTCTTGTTATGATAAAATATCGTGCAACATTGAAGATGTTGTTGAATATAAAAAAAATCTACTCCAAATTACAGACACCGATGTTAGAATCAATGTTTTGGAGTTATATTTAAATCAATAATTGTTCTTCTTTGTTACGAATCATTTTCTTTTCAAAATGGCAGACCATTCTTATCGTATTTTAATCCTAGTATATATGATGAGTTTTATATGCTACTTCAATTATTTTTTTCTTATCTATCTTCAGTGCACGTACTTTCATGTTACATGAGTTATTATATTGGTCGCGTTAGGAACTTTCAGAACTGGGTCAATCTCATCACATGTTTATGTGTCTTTGAATTATCCGAATCATTCGAGAATTTGCTGTTGACCCCGGATTTGTTAATTTCTTTGTCTAATTTTGTTTTTTTAACCTTGTCTAAACTCGCGAAGATTGAGATCTTCAAATATTGTATACTAGACAATTGTCAATTGCTGAAGACTGTGGTTTCAGATGTACATTTGTACATGTCCTTTGGTTTAAAGTTTCTTTGGATAGTCGCCTCGTCGCCTTTTATCTATATGCTACTATTCCCATACATCTAAGGAGATTCTAATATTCAGTGACTGTGAGAATTATGTGATATAGTGTTTTCTTGTACCTATATGTTTGTTCCCAAGATTAAAATTTGGAGTATAAAGATATAAAAGTAAAGTAATCTAACCCCTCCCCACGACGATGTGCATGTCTTAAGTATAACACCCGGCCAGTATTGCTAGTAATGACCGATACATCTGTAATATAACAGATACAGTTACGTTTGCTTCATTATTTTAGTAACATTTAGATATTGAAAATAATATTCGGTTGAAAACAAAATCAACGAAAAAACGGATACTTTGAGCTTCATAGTTATGAAGTTTCAATTTCTATGTACCAACATTCATTCGATCTGTGTATTGGATAAACTTCTCCAAATTGATTTAGAAGTCTAAGTATTTTATCTGCTGTATCACTACTGAGGTTGTATGTTAGAACCCCACACGTTGCTGGTCCGTTCGACTCAAATCCTAATTGATTAGAAATGCCAGTTTTCCTGTTAGAAGTCGGTGGTTCTCGTCGAGTATTTCTGATTCATCAATTAATAAAAACTGGCCTCGACGACAATAGCACTGGCGTGGTGTTAAACATTAAAAAACAGTCATCAATTATCATAATTGAGACGATATTCTAGAGCCTGTGTTTCGTATCATTATTTACTTGATAAAAAGTAAAATCACAAAAATACTGAACTCCGAGGAAAATTAAAAAAGGAACGTCCCTAATCAAATGGCAAAATCAAAAGCTCAAACACATCAAACGAATGGATAACAACTGTCATATTCCTGACTTGGTACAGGCATTTTCGTATGTAGAAAATGGTGGATTAAACCTGGTTTTGAAGCTAGCTAAACCTCTCACTTGTATGACAGTCGCATCAAATTCCATTGAATTGACAACGATGTGTGAACAAAACAAACACAAAAGGTAAAAATGTCACAAATAAGGGTACAACAGAAACACGAACCCCACCAAAAACTGGGAGTGATCTCAGGTGCTCCGGAAGGGTGAGCAGATCCTGCTCCACATCTGGCACCCGGCGCCTTGCTCATGTTATTACAAAGCCGGTAAATAGTCTAATTCGGTAGGTCACATTTGTGAAAAGGGAACGGGATTGTAGTTACGACATAAGGAACATATCCGATATCATCTGTGAAACGGATATTCCATAACGGTCAACAAACTCGTGATGGCGTCCGTAAAATTTACGAAGTGATGATTTCAACTTCACCATTTGGAACTAAAAATGGAAAGGTCACAATTGGGAAGCTGAAATCATCTCTTTTGTCGTAAAGTTTTGTTTTCAACCGACCCTCATTGTCAATTTCTAGAAAAAGGGTTTCTGCTTACATGGAAGCTAATAAAAAAATGGTTCAAAGTGGTAAAGTTGAAGTCATTCAGAAGTTTTACGGACGCAATCACGAGTTATCTGATCATTATAGAATATCTATGTCACAAATGAACACGGATATATTCCAGTTTCGTAACTGAAATCCAATCCTCTTTTCCTCAATTGTGACATCAGGTGTACTTACAATGAGCAACATGACGGGTGCCACTAATGGAGCAGAATTTATTGACCCCTCCAGACATCCTGAGATCATCCGAGTTGTTTTGTGGGGGTTGTGTTAAAGAAGCCTTAGTTTTTCTATATAGTGTTTTGTGGAATTGTTTTTTTTTTCGTCGTCTTTGTTTTCTTTTGCCATGACGTCGTCAGTGTCCATTCGACTTTTGTCACCTTTGTATCTTCCGCCTCTTTTGTCTTTAATATCTTCTTTTTAATGTATTCACAACTTTTAAAAAAATGGAAAAGTTAGAACTTGATATGGTACATTTGTCCATTGATAAAACCCGTACGTATCTGTAGATGCCTTTTGGTTTTGTGGTTTTTGGTAAGTATGTTGACCCCCATCTCTTTTCATTGATATGGTACTGTGTTCATGTTTATATGGATACCCTACATGAATCATGTATGTGTATATAAAACAAGTCCTTGATGGAGTTAGTACTTTACCTGCCCGAGAAAAACATACACCAAAAAACTAATTGCAATTGGTCTTTTGCAACATATTTAGAATGATCAAGTTCATCCCCATGAAAAGATAAATTCTGTGTAATTACTGATCTAAAGATTCAAAAAATGGATGCGATAAAATTACACGGCAAGCAAAAGTCTTAAACAGCATATTATGTTATAAAAACAAATAAAAAAGTATCCTTGTCAAACCGATTGTCTCGTCAATAGTACATTCTGTATTGGTTAATTAATTGTGGATGAACTAAACTAAGGCCATGCAAGTTACAAATATCCCAAATTTGTATTGTGTTGTTATCGACCTGAGTCTTGCCCATGCCATCAAGATATAAGCAAATATTATTCAACAGATATTCTTATTTTTGTGTTTGTGTTTGGATATGTTATTATGATAAATTATAATTTACATGTATACGCATCATAAATACTAAACATCCTATTTTTTTCGGGAAAAATAGTGAATGTGAATAATCGGTAGTTGAAATCAGACGTCAATGAATAACAACCGAATAACACACAACGCCATGTTTTTATAATATAATGGTAGGTTTCAAGAACATCTGAATTAGTTTAACGATTGTATTGTTCGTTGGCGCTCCACGAAAAAAGCAGGAATACTACAATTACGATATATGTTGTGCGTAAAATGATAATGTTATGTGTAAATAGAGCAGATCCATCTCATTAACTCCAAATAATTAGTTTTTGGACATGTTGTATGATTCATAAGTATTTTCATATAAAATGTGTTAGTTTCATGGTATTTGGGATACTAAGCACTGAATATTAAAGACAATTGTCTGCACACATTATTGTTTTTAGAATACTTATCTATATCTAATTTAAACTTTATATTCTAGAAAAATGATCTTGCCGAATCCTGATACACATCTGATGTTAAAGTTAATAAAATATAAAAATATTTGAGAACAAATCTTGACTTTATTAACAATTGATTTGCATTGCCGAACCATACAGTCAAATTATACATATGTGAATAAAACATATAAATATCTATATATAAAAGAAGGATAAGTTAATGTTAAATTGTGCAGGGAAGAGTAAATGATACAACAAGAGGTATATTTCTTACGCATTAAGTTACTATTTCGAACATGCATATAGGGAAACCCCTAATGAGACAACAACACACCAAACAACGCAAAAATAACCTAACAACAATACAATTAAGATTCGACACAAAGTTTTTCTTCGAGATAAAAATACAGGTTTCTACGCTTAACGACACCACTAGACTACAAAATCACTAATCTTTGGTTGAGATTTGATAAATTTCAGTAAAACAATTAATTTCTAGAATATTTAGCTAAGTTAGCATACATTGCAAAGGTTGTCCAAATGATTTTTATAATGCAAATAGATAAACTCATTAATGGACACTTCAAATGTGGGCGAAAGTTGACACAATATAATAAGCAGAATGAATGGATGAAGAACATGAAGATGTCAAGAGTTTGAAACAAATTCGACCTTTTATTGATTAGGATAACCTTTGATTATCGTATGATGAAGACACAATTTTTTCATCAATTTAATTGAGGGATGGAGCTGGCATGTCAATTACTGCTAGTATTCGTTTGTTAATTTATGTTGATCATTGTCCTTTTGCTCAGTTTCTTCTGTTATCAATTCTAACATCGGACTCGAACTTCTTTTTAACTAAGTTTTACTGTGCGTATTGCTGTGTGTTTGTTTATTCCACAATGACAAGAAGTAATAAGGGGATTAAGATCTCACAAAACATGTTAACCCCCGCCGCATTTTTGCACCTGTCCCAAGTCAGGAACATCTAGCCTTTGTTAGTCTTGTGTGTGTTTTTCAATTTTGGTTCATTTGTATGTTTTGGAGTTAAGTGTGGCGTTTATTTCGATGAACTAGTTCACATTTTTGTTTAGAGGCCAGCTGAAACCCGCCTCGGGTGCGGGATTTTCTCGCTGTGTTGAAGACCCATTGGTGGCCGTGGGCTGTTTTCTGCTCCTTGGTCGGGTTTTTGTCTCTTTGACACATTCTCAATTCTCAATTTTATAGTGTACATTATTGTTAAGGGTCCAGCTGATACCAACCTCCGGATGCGGATTTTCTCGCTGCGTTGACAACCTATTAATAGCTTTGGGTTGTTTTGGTCTGGTTGTTGTCTCTTTTGCACATTCCCGTTTTCCATTCTTTATTCTATATTTCAACAAGTTTTGTATTCTTTAAATGTTTTAACAAAAAGTTTATGAGAACACAAAAAGGAATTATAGAAATCACCAATAAGTTACAGTACAGTACAATACACCACATCAACAACAAACACCCGACTCTTTCGAAAAAATAGATATTCATACAGCGACATGCAACACATGGTGAAGATAGTCGGACGTGCTAACCTATTAAATTTTTACCTATTATGTCTGTTTGTTTTGATCACACATTGTTGTCAATATAATGGAAAATTTGTTTGCGACGGTCATACATGTGAGAGGTTTAGCTAGCTATAAAACCAGCTTTAATCCACCCTTTTCTGCATAAGGTAACGCCTGTACCAAATCAGAAATATGACAATTGCTTTCCATTCATTTAATGTGTTTGAGCTTTTTATTTTGCCATTTGGTAAGTGACTTTCCGTTTTGAATTTTCCTTGGGGCTCGGTATTTTTGTTATTTTACTTTTCACAAGCCGTTCCATTTGCCTGTCTATACCATATGTTGAAAAATAATAAAACCTGCACAGTGCAGCTACAGACAGGATGACTAACAGTAACATGGAAAAAAAGGCACCTAACTTTTGAAAACTGGGTAAAATGTACTCACTACTACAGGAAGGTAGCTTCGGTAACTATTGCTTTCAGTAGGATAGTGCCGTTCACAAAAACCCCCCTCAAAACACCAGAAACATCATAAAACTACAATCAAATCGGCAGTATTAGTTAAAGGCCAGTAAGTATTAAAAACTGCCATTTTAACTGAAGTGGTAGGTATTTCTCGTCTGGAGCACTTGCTGTTGAACGTTGTTTGACATTCCCGTCCAATGAGAACATTTTTAAATAATTAAAGTTAAAATTGTTTATATTTCGTATATTCTAGTTTTAATTTTTCCATTTATTATACCAATACATGTATGACTAAAAATAGACAATGTGTACTGTATTAAAACCGTTAAGCAATTGCATAAAGGAGTCATTTCAACTGATTTGATTTTGGTTTTTGGTGTTTTAACGCCACTTTTAAGCACCGCTTTTGGGCTATTTCGTGGCGGCCAGTTTTTATTAGTGGAGGAAGCCGGAGTGCCCGGAGAAAACCACCGACCTTCGATAGAAAAACAGACAATCCTAGTCATTTAAGATTGGAGTCGAGTGCACCCGCACGAGCGGGGCTCGAACTCACAACCTCAGTGTTGACTGGCTAGTGATTACAGTAGTAACTACTTAGACCACTCGGCCACCGAGGCCCCCATTTCAACTGAAGTAATACGTATTTCTCACTTAAAGTACTTGCTTTTGTAAAATGTTAGACGAACAACAATATACAAATATAAATCAATTGCTTTAAAAAAGCAATTGTAAACCGTCTTTCACCTTTTGAAACATGATTGATTGCTATGTTTGTTTGTTTGTTTGATTGATTTTGCTTGCTTGTTCGCTTGCTTTGTTTGTTTGTTTGTTTGTTTGTTTTATTTGTTCATTGAATGCCTTAACGTCTACCAGTCAATTTTTCATATTAGAAGGAGAGAAAAAAAAACACGAGTAAAAGAAAGAAACAGGTTTAATGATCCCCCCTAAATAAAAAGAGGGGCGGGACCCAAGTTCACATTTTCATACAACGGTCCACATCCTTGATTTGGTTAAGTTTTTATATTTAGATTGGAATGTTTTTATTCTATTTCAGGTCCCGCGCCGTCTCTCGTGCCAAATTATGACGTCACGAGGTTTGTTCATATTAGCAAAAACTTATATTTCTTTCTTTTCAGTTGGAGATGTTGGACAGACAACATGTATATCGACGAAATAATGCATAACGTATTTCTTTTGTCACTGTAGGTAATTGATGTTTTGATCGGAGTTCACGAGCAGTGCATGCCTTTGATTTATTTTATCCAGTGTACTTTTAAAACACGTTTATCGATTATTTTCATACAATGTATATATTTCAGCAGCAGTTTGTAACACAAATTTGAATTTTAATCTATGAGCAGACATTTTATTGTAGGATTTCACTGATATTTACGGAGCTCGAAAGCGATTTCTACGGCATTGAAATTTGGTTTCTCTTCAAAAATTCTTGGGAGGGAGCTGCACAACGTTGTTATACTATGATGGAAAACATGTATACCCTGTTGGCTACAAAGTTTGGAGTCAATTGGACATGTAGTTTACGTGAAGAAGCGCACACAAGAATTTGGTCCATGTTTTCCGATAAGAATTGTAATAACAATATTAAAATGTCAATTGTTCGTGAACAATTCACAGGTCTTTCCTTTTCGAAATGTAAAATATATGTTTAAATAAATGTAATATGCATTGAAAAGCAATAAACACATATAAAACCATGAAAAAATTATCAAAAACATAAAATTCCTGATCTAGGTCATGACCTTGATTTTGACCTTATGACATTTCTCAAGGTCATTGGTTCTTGGTGTCCTTGCTGAAGACACTATGGATCTAGGAACTTTAGTTTAGGAGTTAAAGCTAATTTTGTCTTTTCAGAAACCGTTAACGGGGGTTATGCCCCTTACCGATAGATTAAATCTCTTCGGTCAAAACATACCAAAGTTGCGCCTTGATGATTCAAACATTTTTTAACTATTGACAATTTCTGTACGTATAAGGGTTTCTGAGCTATTCCAAACCAAGTAGTGAGGTCAAATGTCAATGTTAACGTAAACAAAAGCTTTTAAACACACTTAAAAACCATTTAAATAAGGTCAAAAACACATAATTTGGTATCTGGGACATGACCTTGACCTTTGACCGTATGTCCTTTGTCAAGGTCATTGGTCCGTAATGTCATTGCTGAAGAACTCATGGATGTAGGACTTTTGGTGTAATAGTTAAAGCTAATTTTGTTTTTACAGAAACCGTTAACGAAGGTTATGCCCCTTGCAGCAAGATCAATTCTCTTTTGTCAAATGTAACAAAGTTGCGCCTTAATGATCCAGATATTTTCTACTGTTCAAGACTTCTGTAAGTATAATGGTTTCTGATATTATCCCATAACAAGGTGTAAGGTCAAAGGTCAAGATCAACATAAATATTTGACCTTGAGGCATGTTTAAGTAACATGAATTGATGATCAATAATGAAGACCCTAGGTGACTACGACTTTCGGTTTCTGAGTTTTAGTGGCCAACTGACATCGGTTTTTTTCTACCTATTACGGTTACGGTGTTTGAATGATAACAAGGTTTTAAGGTTTCGGGCAAATAACTCCGGACCGACTAAATTGATTGTCACTGAAACAAAATGTTCACTATTCATCTATCATGTTATCCTAATCGTAGGTGTATGACAGTTTCCGCAAATGTCTGATAGGCTATAAAACTCATTTGCTTTGAACTTTTGTTAGATAGTGAATGTTTATGTCGTAAAGAAGTGTTCGTAGTGTGCACAAATATCAAAATTAAAATCAAATCAACTATAAAATGCATCAATACACGTATGATTGTCACTCAAACAAAATGCTAACTATTCATAAATAAATGTTTTTCTTATATTATTATTCTCAGTAGAAAAAAGAAAGCAGAAACTACAGATTACAGGTTCTAATGAAGACGTTTTGTAGATTATACACAGCTGTTTATTTGTTCGCAATTAGTTTTAATTGTGCATGGTGTTGTGTTGTCCTTATCTATCGTGTCTTTATTCAGTCTCGTTAGCTTTCATATTTAATGTTTTAGTATTTCTTATCATTTAAAAGTTTAATATTTCTTGTAAGACAATCGTTTTTGGGGTACTTACTCTAGAAATCGAATAAAACATTATAGGTGAAGCTCTGATTTATTTCTCAAAATCATTTTTCTTTTCTTTTTCAAATTCAATCGAAAAAGTCCCTTTGGTTTCTATCGCCTCTCTTTTGGTCATACAGGTCATTATATATTTAGGTATTTACATTTTCTAAGCGTTCACATATTCGGCTTTGAGAGGTCTAATTAAGGTGAAACAGTAAATTTTCGTTGGACGAACGCCATTGTTACGATCGTTTACTATCATTGGGTGTTATCAGCTCATTAGTAAGTGCTTCAATACTAACATGATCCATAACATACTATACATACTATACATAAATTATCCGTTTGTGTATTGAGCAGTTTGAAAAAAAAACTAAGGCTACATGGTTTTCAAAAGATTTGTTTTAAGCGTACCTGATTAAGGTTAAAAACAAAAACACTTACAATGCACGAATTTATATAAAGTTTTTTTTTTTTTTTATCTATGATGTTTCTGTTGTGTTTACTGTTCGATAATATGTTATGTATTATCGTTTGTAGTCCAAATAATTATAAGATAGCCTTTCAATACCGTCATTGTCATGATGATTGTTTGTACTAGTATTGTGAAAATTGTATGAATTTCAAGATTAAATATTCGTTACAAAAATACGTCACTGTTTGTGATGTCCTGTGCTATCTGTCGTTAATGGAAGATGTTCGTTGTTATTCTGCGGTTTACATGTTGTATCGACTATTATATTCATTTGTGCGTTTCTCTGTGATGAGTGTTCTTGCGTGTGTTTGTGCTGTATTTCTGTCACGTAGTGTTGTCATTTTAGCGATATTTTTTAACATTGCCATAAAGGCGGGAGGTTTGGCTAGCCATAAAACCAGGTTCGACTCACCATTTGTTCTTAAAATGGCCTGCACCAAGTCCCGAATATAGCAGTTGTTATCAAATAATTCGTTTCTATGTATGTTGGCGTTTGTTTTTGTTGCACCTCAGTGTTTCTGTTGTTTCTTTGTTTGTTCTCTTATAGTTGATGTGTTTCCCTCTGTTTTAGTTTGTCACCCGGATTTGTTTTTCTCTTAATCGATTTATGACTTTTGAACAGCGGTATACTACTGTTGCCTTTTTTTTTTCGTTCAGTAACATTCACCTGGTAATCTCATAACCTATATAGGTTTTTAAAAAGTATTACTGTATGGCTCTCGGATCGAAATTCAACTGATAATTCAACTAAACTGTAATAAAAAAAATATGATTTTTACCTGACAATAGCCATCATGACCTATTGGACCATTTCGAAATATATTCTGAACAAAGTGTCTTGTCATAAATATTTAGTAACCATGACATTTGCAATTTGAAGATTTTGTAATAACCTTGTTTGTCATAAACATTTAATGTTTCCAGAAACCACTGTACCTAACGTTTGCTGTTGTTGTTGTCTCTGATACATGTATTGTTGCGTTTGCAGTTATAATTGTTGCTTTTGCATTCATTAACACAGTGATATATCATCTAATTGTATCAATCAGCAAGATCAGACCAGGTACAGGTCTTGTTATATGACATAACCAATTCAAATGCATTCAATATGTAAAACTAAATGTTTTTATTATTGTCACGGCTTTTTTTTTCTTTTTTTTTCTTATTATTATTTATACTGACATTAAGGGTTAATAATTATACCAAATGCCAACAATAACACGAGTTATAATAGCATTGTCCTTTGTCGTATCTGCTACTTTGCGCTCTACAGCAATTTTCACATCCATATTTTGACGGTGGTCGTCGGCAGTATCTTTTACAACTGCGCACCTTTACACTGATTGATGGTTGTCCTTCAACTCCATGTTCTTTCAGAACTGAAAAGTATATTTTTAACAATCATCATTCGCTTCAGGAATGGGTCAGTGTTTTTTAACAGTATTTTTTCTTCAATTTTATAGCGGTAAAAACTTAATTTGTTCACTTTACGTATTTAATATTGAAGATTTCAGATTTTTATTGGCTTTATTATTTTCAAAATCATTCAGAAATCAAAGACTTGATCAATGTTGAAATATGATAAAGACTCGTTCTTTTTTTTTATTTTTAACATGCTGACCTTTTTTTAGATATAATGTAAAACTAAATGTTATTCATGAGAGTAAACGTAATTAAATTTAATGTTTAACAACGTGCAAGAATAGGCAAGACTCTCTCTCTCTCTCTCTCTCTCTCTCTCTCTCTCTCTCTCTCTCTCTCTCTCTCTCTCTCGTATATATTGAAAAAAAACTGTGCATTAGCAATAGTTTATTTCTAAAAAGGCATTAGATTAAATCAAGAGATATTTACCAATTCCCTGTCAATGCTTATGACCTTAAAAAGGAGGTGAACTGAAATAAAACCCCTGACTTCACAAATACAGTAGGTGTTGTGGACTTTCCTGTATCACTTGAGGTTTTCTTTTAAGTATACTTTTTGAGGTTCATTTAAAATTTAATTTTTTTTATTTTTTATCTTTGTTGCCTTTTTTGTAATTGGGCATCTGTCCTTCGACGTTGACTTTGACTTTGATTTTCCATCTACATTTTCAGTTTGTCTTATTTATTTCGTAGACAAACACTAATAGTTAACATGTTAAGTTAAATCATGATTTCATGGTATGATCTTATCTGACTATATACATGATATACATGTACCTAATTAATCTTCATAATTCTGAATATAGATTTTTCGAATATATATTTTGTTATATAAAAATGCGTTTACTCACAACAGGAAAAGATCAGAAGTAAGACAAAAGATGCTCCAACAATTGATAAGTGTTTCATTTTAAATAGACGACCTGAAAATATTAAAATAATTTTACATGCCTTAAAAAAGCATAACTTACGGACAAAGTGTTCTTAGATTTACATCGTACACTATTAAATGTTAGATCCATTAGGTATTGTCGTCAAAATAATTCCCGTTAAACTGTTGTATCATTTGTTATAAAAGCCACCTGAAATTTGAACTTTTGTATAAAAATAAATCAAATTCAAGGTTAAATATAAAATGATTAAGTCGTACTAACCTTAGATATTTCTACCTACTAAAGTCAGCGTTTATGTACAAAGTACAAAGCGTTTCACTATAATTTAATGTAAATGATGTCCTTAAAATTAAAGGATGTTCCGATTGATAAATACATATCCCATACTAAAATCTTTATGTTGTCTAACATCCTATGGTGATATTATGCAATGTATTATGATTAATTGTTTCAAAATGCATCCTTTATATGTATGTAGCAGTTTATCAACATGTTAAGGACGCAGAAGTATGATGCAAAAAGAATTTCGCAAAGGTATGACGAAATCAAAAATATTCAATGTTGTTTTTCACTTTTCAAGGAATTAATATTAAACAACTAAATGAACTAGCTCAGTTTAAATTCTGCTGCGTTAATTTTTTCAGAGAGAACATACACACACCTCCAATTTCAAAACAGTGTCTGAAGTGTCTTAACTGATATTGTTTCTCTTTCAATAACAATGAGTAGAGGATACTAAACTAAACCGAACTAACTTTGAAAAAGGGAAGTCAAATATTAAGAATATTGTCAAATATTCATATACATAGACATAAAAAAAAAACGAAAGAGAATCAATGGTAAAAGATAAGTGCTGTCGAAACCAGGCAAACAGTCAACACACACACACACACATCCACACACAGAGAGAGAAAAAACATAAATGCAAGCAAACTACCATAATCACCTTCTCTAATTCTGCAATCGATTACAATCCCATGACAAAGAGTCTTTGGGTAACCTTTAATTTGCAGAGATACTAGTATTACAGGTATACAACGAAGTTACCTTTTCCGGTCCAATCATGAAATTGGACGTTCATTACCTTTCTAAAATGTTTTTTTACTTAAACAAAACTAACTTAGCAGATATTTTTTTCTGAAACAAAATTATAGATCCAAGACTTTGTTCAAACTGTTGTTTGCTCTCGTTTACTTGAAAAAAGTTTGAAAATGGAAAATTGAAGTTGTTATTACATTTTTATAATAATATACTTTCGTATTAGTGTGGCCTTGTTTGTGTATAAACAGATACGTGCATATGCAAGGAAACATTGTCACAAGATTAAACATCCTGTTCTGATTTATAAATTACCATATGGTGTTTACAAAAGAAAAAAAAAGTCCCGGATACAAATTTTTCAGAAAGAAAATCCTGGTCATTTAAGGGAATACTCTTATGAATTCAGGCGCAGGTCTTTGTAAAATCCATCTGACTTGTCAAGGTAAGCGTAACAAAGGTTAATATATCTAAACTATTTGTTTAATTGAATTATTTGCGTTTTACATACAATGTTTGTTATAGTATTCAAAGGTTTCAATTTCAATTTCATGACAGCTAAAAACACTATTACACTTCTTTGGGAAAAAATGTAATACATGCTATAACTGCGGTAAAACCTTAGGTAGCAGCTCTGTAGGATCAGAATTTCAGCGACATTACATCTGTCGTAAGTTTTGTTTCAACTATCGCACCCTTAAGAAAAACGTGTCTTTATTGTTTCTTTGAGCGCAATATGTTTTGAATAATTTCGATATACAGGTTCAAATCAACAGCCTTAAGATAGAAATAAAATACATTTGTTAGAATTAAAAGAAAAACGAACGAGGTTAAATTTAGCTTTTTTTTTAGGAAGTTGCGTATTTTGCATTTCAATTTATAAAACCGAATATAGTTCACACTCCCAGCACTTCACCAGACGAAACAGACCGCCTAAAGACGAGGCATCGTGATTTGTTTCTTGAAAAGCAGACACGATAGTGAAATGGAAATTCGCAGTAAAAGCAGCACTATACTATTGATGAACACTCTTCTATGCCAACTTTTTTTTGAAATATTCGATACTCGTATCATCGACAAATTAATTGTAGTTTTATTTCGTATCAAAAGATCACCACGGTAATAAAAACTACAATTTAAATACAATTTTCAACTACTTTAATATCGTTAGGTATAAAAATTTATAATTTTAAAATGATATAAAACCAGTAGAAGAGAGGTATTTTTCAATTAGAAATAGAGAACAACAACACTAACAAATATCTTGAATTCAGCATACGGTCTACCAAAATAAACAAAATTTGTGAATAAATACAGACATTTGCAAAGTTAAAAAAAAACCAAACTATTAGATACAATTAGAAAGACATTCTTTTTAATAACAGACTTGATTTTACAAATCTCAATGAAACAGTTTTAATATCGATCAGTGGAAATAATAAAAGTACCTGTAAGAACAAGAATCTATAAACATAAATCTTTCAGAATAGAGGCATATTTAGAAACAAAACATAAGACTTACAGTACAATGAAATCCCTTACCAGAAATACGATATAATGTTTTAAAAACATGTTTGCAACTATTGAAAACAAACAAAAACATATATGGTACATATGTCACTGCCCCAAACGTTGCCTTCCCCCAAACGTGTTCGATACCCCAAAACGTGTTCGATACCCCAAACGTGTTCAATACCCCCAAACGTGTCTATTTCGCCTTAACGTGTCCTTTAAATCGTAAATTGGCCAAACAAGTCCTATTGTATATCCCTCAAACATGTCCGATAATTGTTTTTCGCCGTTGTCCACTTTAAAACGCCAGAAAGTCTCAAACTTCTAGCGTTTATATGTCCTCAGTGGCGTCAATAACGTTTACGACAATTCACATGGGGGACACAATTCAAGATGTTGGGTTTTCAGATTATAGTTTTGAATTTTAAAAAGAGGTAAGTCACACTTCAACTGTAGTTTGTTCAACGCACCAGTTGTTAATATTTAGCATGATGTAACACATACATTAACTCTTAGTTGTTTATTGTTTAAAGTCCAGCGGCAAATACATGTCACGGATATGTAAAGCGAAAATAAGAGTTGCAATCAATTCGTTTTGTACAGTTAAATTCATCGTTTAGTAAGTTAATTTTTTGTACTAATATATCCCGGTAATGCCTAATTATCTAAATAGTATATGAGAGCATAGCATCGCACGGCCTACTTCTGACAGAAGTGTTGTCTGGGCTTTAAAAGAGTTACTGTCCGTTTTTTACAACAACAACACAAAATTAAGGTTCCTGTAATGATATCAATTTGATTTGTATTTATTCACATCTTATTTCAACTAAAGGCGTTCATTGACTTTACTTGGTGTAATAACAGTACTTTTATTGCTGACGAATGTGAAATATTGATTAATGTAATTTGTTCTCTTTTGTTTCTACAGAGTTGTTTGGTTTTTGTCTGATTTAGCATATCGACCATTTCATTTTTTTTCATTTTTTGTTTACGTGCTCCTCCAGTTGTATTTCTTTATTTTAAAAAGACAGAAACGCGACATGGCTTTAAAATGGCCGCTTCTTCAAATATACTTCGAAACTTATTGGAAAGGCGAAACCTCTTCTTGTTATTTACACTTTGAGCAAATGTGTGTTTCAAGTAAAAGGTTCAATTTTGGCAAATTATGGCCTTAAATTGCAACTTTATGAAATATACAATACCCGAAATTGGTTCTTAAATGGGTATTTTTCAAAAGTCTTAATGCTAAACAATCTATCTATAAAGGCTTTAAAGTCGGTACATTTTGAAAATTGTTTGACAAATTTTCGGAACTTAAAGAATTAGGAAAACCTTGGACGCAACCTACATGTACTATCAAAAAATGTTTATATACATATATAGTGTACATGTCTTTGTTGCTACGAAATAAAACTCATAGAGAAATACTGTTTCACAGAATATGTTCAGAGATTCTTTAGATAAATAGTTTAACCTTTGGAGAAACGTTTTTCTTTTTGTTTATGTATGCAAAAAGAGACGTGATCCTACAGGTTTTCTTTTCTCTTTTAAATTTGAATAACTTGCAACATAAGTTCAAAGAAAATCAAAAATCAATTAAAAAGAATTTATTGGCACAATTTGATTTAAAATGAAATTACAATTCAGGATTGGATTGAAGAATGACTATCAACAACACAAACACATCTTAAATGAACAAATGTATACTTGTTGACAGATAAGGAAATCTTTTCAAAACAAGCCAGTTCATATATGTGACCAGCCATGTGATTTTCATGCTTATGGAGGCACCAGGGTCAAAATAATTTATTTACATTTTTATGAAGTATACATAGATTCAAAACACTCTGACAAGTTATTTTGCTAGGTTCTGCAAAATAACAGAATTATGGTCATTTTTGTTACTTTAGATTTTATTAAAAATTTTCCTTTTTTTTCAATTTTTCACATGTATCATGTGTATGTTCTTCTATTATAGCTATCTCTGAAACTTGTCATATTGTTTTTTTTGTTTTTCGGGGGTTTTTTTTGTGTTTTTTTTTGTGTTTTTTTTTTTTGACAAAACAACTAGAGAATTATCTTTCGTCTATATCAATCATTCGGTTGCCATAACAAACAATGTACCGGAACATTTTTCTTTCTCTTAAGGAGAACTACATTAATGCTAAAAAAAGATGAATAGCAAGATATTTTCCCTCACAATGTGAACAATGAGATTTACTCCAAAAACTTGGTGTTCATGCTGCAAAATGTATAGGTAATAAGTTAGAGAAAAATATAACCACTGCACTTTGAAATGCCTAAAATTATCTTAGGTTTATGTTCATGCCCCTTTCAGAATTAATTTTAGTTCAGAGCAATGCAATGAAATCTAAAAGATAAATTGTGTGAATCAAGAACGCGATTCTAATCGGGATTTTTACCTAAATTATTAATTTGACGTAAAAAAAACTACTTGTCCTGTATATCTAAATATAATT